ATTGCTACGGTTGCTAGAGGTCTTGCCCTGTTTCTCGAATCGCATCAGTGTTCTTGATATGGTAGCTCTTGAAAAACCAAACAGTTCAGCAACCTTAGTGATCGAGGCTTCTGCCATGCGAGCTCCAACAATTTGCTCTTTTTCGAACACGGAGAGGTCACACATTTAGCTTAAATTTTACTAAATTCTAAAAATAAATAACCCAAAGACAGTAAATAAGATAAATAAACGTATTTACAATAGATATAACCTGAAATTATAAAGTTTTATATAAAGTTCTTAATATAATAGGTCTTTGAAATTTAGGAGTGGATTTTGCAACTGTTCCAATTATTTTGTCCTGTCGGAGTTACCTCCTCCTTCTATCCTTGAACCGGCAGAGGAACAGGTCATTTCGACCTCGACTTCTCATTCATGCTCCTTACACACTGTTAACACGTCGGAGGGACTAGCAGATCCCCTTTTTAGTTAGGTTATATTACAAACCTAGTTGTAATATACTACTTGTCATTTGTAGACCTTAGTTCTCTTTAGCTAACCTCGTAGTATTTTATTATAGAGACTTTTCGGTTAGCTTAGCCAATTTCTCTTGCTGGTCTCCCTTGTCAGAAGATAGTGATTTCTCGCTAGATTCGAAGAAGCGGTCGGCGACTGAAATGGTCGGCTACGCAGGCCTCTTGGCCTTCAAGGACGCCGATCAACGTATTAAGTTACGCTTTGTTTGATACGGGGCCGCACGGAGTGCCCCCTACAGTCCAACCCCTGTATTTATATTTACATACTCTCTATCTTTGATATTGATCACTTTATCCCATAAATATAGCACACCTTAAAACTATATTTCTTTATATATATTGTTACGTGTTGATAATTGTAACAAAGGAAAAAATGATTTACCACAACACAGAGATAAATCACAAACAAATATTTAATTTACTGAAACACAACATAAAATATACACAAGATAAACAATTGTGGCCTACAAAACAGAAAACACAGTTACTGGCGGAGTGTTACGAGGAAGAAGGAAAGGGAATCAAATATTTTTAGGGCTAGCGAAGTAATCTAAGTGCTATATTTGGAAATCCACAAAGGTGTGTAAATAAATATTAATTTTTTAGTTTGGTCAATGAAAATAGTCAAAACTCTATTTACCAGATTTGTTCCAAGGTGTTTTCTTTTGGGGTTTAGTTGCTTGGCAACTTTTCATAGAGATTCTTTCGGCTGCATATAATAATCCTCGAATCAAAAAGCCGGAGTTGATACTGGCAGAAATTTCCTTTCACCAACAATATTTATTCCTGTAAAATACAGAAAATGTGGCACAAGGCCGAAAAGGGGGAGGGGGAAAAAAGAGACGGTCATCATCTGTCTTAATTTTAAAACTTAGCTAGCCACAATCACTGACCCAATCGTACAAGACAATAATCCTGGCACCAAAACAACACATTCATACTTACCTTTCATACTAAATTCACCAAAATACCTCATTGTCTCAATGAACATCCTAAATAGTCCCCGTATGTACAAATCTTTGTCTGTGGGGGGAGGGGAATAAAAACCAACAAGCTAAAAACACCCCAATGATATATAAACTATTTACAAGAAACTAAACAAAATCATATTAGTAATAACCCCCCACCCCACCACCACCACAAACCTTAAATGTGGCAGAAAATTCAGTTGACTGGACGAAAATCGATGCGGGGCTTTAAGAAAATAGAAAACCATTCATTCATACCAAGCACTCACACAGACATGCACTCATTCTGACACAACAACAAATACGAAAGACACACACGCTAAACGAAAGGCGTCCCGCATCCACCAGAGAACTGACATCACTGACCACCTAACGAGGGAGGGGATGGGGAGTTAAACTAAAGGAAAAAAGGGACAGAAATAAAAGGGGCCAATGAGCAAACACACCCTAGCCAAGTTAACTGGAAAAGAAAAGAAAAACTAAAGCATCAAAAACCTAACTTCTAGCCTAAATCCAGGGATGGGTTGCCCAAGTTCAACCCAGGAAAACAATATCCTAATGCCTAACCGGCATCAAAATGCCACTCAAGGTCAACCCCTTTTACTCGGCACAAACGTGCAAGATTCACCTACCTTTTGCCAAATTCTGATGACGCGAGCCGCATTGCTACAAACAGAACTGGCCTCAAGGACAAGAACTTTCCCTGCAGCATGCGGACCCTGCAATGAAAGAAGGCGTGATCAATGGTCTCGACTTCCCCAAAACAGCGACGGCAGTTTGGAGATTTCTCCAAGCCCGCTGAACAAAGTCTTTTGGCGACCCAGAGGGCCCCACATATCACCAGCCAGGTGAGGGATGCCCCATTGTAATTGAGGCATTTCAACCCAGGCGCCCAAGGCCATATCGAGCGAGCCTCCTGCTTCGTAAGACCGAACTCGTCAATCAGATCATCCTGAACGCCCCCCCTAACTAACACTTGATACAATGCCCTATGAGACAACGCCTGAGCGTTGGAGAGGCCATCCGTCGCCCGTAAGAGGCGTTTCAGAGCACAACGACATTCGCGGTAGAAGGAGCACTCGGCTCGGGGTGTACGGCCGGCCTCCTCTTCGCACGGGTGCATACTTCTCAGGGATGGGAAGTTTCTACGGACGTCTTCCTTCCAGAAGGCGCCCACCTCATCTGATTCGCGACACATTCGGTCTAGGAAGGCGATGCGCAGCATATATTGACGAATCTCAATCTTAGGCACACCCAGACCGCCTTCAGCAGGATGAAGGCAACAGATCTCCCGAGAGACTTTGGCGGCCTTGCCGCCCCACAAGAAGGAGAACAAGAGCCTCACTAACGCCAGTAAAGTGCCAAACGGAAGTGGAAGCACAGAGAGTCGGTAAAGAAGAATCGGTTAGATGTGTGAAACACATACTTCCTCCTTCTCCTCCGAGACCACAAATTAATTGCGATCTCGGCCTTCCTTTGCACCTCCGACAAATTCATATCCAACTGGAGATCAGGACCGAACCAGACGCCGAGAATCTTGATCGGCCCATCCGTCCAGAGGAAAGGTCCGGGAAGAGAAACTCCCTTCCACACACCCAACCGCAAGCCAACAGACTTATCGCGGTTGATCTTGGCACCTGTCACCATCTCATAACCACTGATCACTTTGCTGACTTCGTCAATCTCGGCCCTGCTCGACACAAGACCCGAAACGTCATCAGCATAGGCAGAATACCTGGCTGAGGTGGAAGTCCCAGGCAGGGAAATTCCACGCAGGACCGGATTCGCCTTTAACTTGCGAAGGAAAGGTTCCAACGCAAGAACGTAAAGCAAAGGCGAGAGCGGACAACCTTGACGAATGGAGCGAAACAATACGAAAGGCTTCGATCTTACCCCATTCACCTCCACCAGCGCACAGGGGGTCGCATACAAAAGTCGGATCCAGGAGTGAAAGTCGGCTCCGAAACCGGCCGCCGAAAGGACAGCCTCCAGAAACCGATGGTCAACCCTATCAAAGGCCTTGGACTGATCTAAATTGGTAAGCGCGGCTTAAATAAACGACTTGTTTTAAAATCAAGCGTACCATATGCAGGTTATCCTGAATAGTCCTGCCCTTCACAGCACAAGTCTGCTCGGAGCCAATCAGACTAGACAGGACAAGCTGCAAGCGGTTGGCTAAGATATTCGCCAAAATCTTTAACTCTGTGTTTAACATAGTCAAAGGGCGAAAGTTATCTAACCCATCCCCACCGCTCTTGTCCTTACGCAGCAACTTGATCACACCCCTGGTGAAGCGTTGGGATAGAGACCCCTGCTTCATCCAGTTGTTGAAGACCAGTTCCAGCAAAGGAACAAAAACAGGTGACTGCCTCAAGTAAACTTCGTAGGGAACACCATCTAGTCCCGGAGATTTATCCAGGCCAACCTGTTTCAGCGCTTCCCAGATTTCCGACTCTGTAATGGGACCCTCGCACCTAGCCGCTTCAACTGCCTCGAGGCAGGGGAAGTTGGTCAAATAGGCGTCGAACCGAGCAGGGCTCAGACCGGGAATCCTGGTGAAAAGATCCTGAAAGTAATCCCGAAAGGCCTCGCATATGCCCGCGTTTGTAGTCACGGTCCGATTATCCGGCAATTTGACGCACGCGATATGTCGCCGAGCTGCGCTCCGATTTTCCTCTGCACGCAATTCAGCGGCCATATTCGTCGCCTCAGAAGACATTCTTTTTAACCTAGCCCTCACTACCAGAGCTTGATCCTTCTTGATAAGCAAGGAGGACAACTCTGCCTTAGCTAAGGCTATTTTCCCACTATCACGGGATTTTACTGCGCGATCAACTTTCACCAACTGACAACCCTTTTCCAAAAACCTATTTTTATAGGGGCTAACACCTAATTTGCATATTTCTAGACGTTTCTCGAATCATCTAGATTCTTCTCGAATATACTGGAATGATCTAGAATCTTCCAAACGTTCTATTTCTAATTTCTCTATTGTATATCTACTTCGTGAAAGAAAACTTTTTTGTATTAACAGGTAGGACTCAGTAGAATCCGTTACTATAAATTTTAACCTTATTGAGACTTTCTTATTATAGAAATGCATCCTCGTAACACACACACACACACACACACACACACACACACACACACTCACACACACACACACACACACACACACACACATATATATATATATATATATATATATATATATATATATATTAAATGGATCTTCAGCTTACCCTGCTTATCCGTTTAGGTGAAACCAAGGGAGGTTGTTCCTGGCTCTTTAGGATTTATTTAATTTATCCCAGCTCTACTTACCGTATTGAGCACTCTACGTTTTAGCTTGTTTTTTTTTTCTTTGGACTAAAAACTAAAGGCACTGGACGATTTATTTCGCCCTGTTTGGATGTTTCTAGTTCTTTCTTTTTTTTTTTTCTCAATTTTTCCTCGAGTACCAATTTGTTTTGATAGACTTACAAGCTGTGCTATCCAAGTTTTTTTTCCAACCGAGTATTACTAGTAGTATAATCTATCTATCTATCTATCTATCTATCTATCTATCTATCTATTCCAGCCTCAACTCATATCTATCTATCTATCTATCTATCTATCTATCTATCTATCTATCTATCTATCTATCTATCTATCTATTCCAGCCTCAACTCATATCTATCTATCTATCTATCTATCTATTCCAGCATCTGCTCATGACTATCTATCTATCTATCTATCTATCTATCTATCTATCTATCTATCTATCTTCAACCAGTCAAAAGTTTTGTTTGATAAACAACCGTTACAAGGGGAAAATACCGCCAAACAAAATACTTGCGGGCGTGTTTGTAGACCTACCATGTGTTATTTTTGGACCATTTACAAAATAACAATAATAACTCCCTTCAGCACTCCCGCAAATTTGAGAAAAAGATTTTCGCGAGCCAGTGTGAAATTTCGAACTAATGAAAACCTTGTATTCAAGAAGTCCACATCTACTATGTGAAATTAGATTTCGGATCCCCGTTACAGATATAAAAATGAAATCCTACTGCTTCTCAGAGTTCAAAACAATTTCGGATGTCTGTTTGGTCTACACGTGCGTACACACGCACACGATAGAAGGGATGGCAGCCAACAGCTACCGACTAAGGCGTTGTCCCCGCACTGAAAGCAAAATTGGGCTGACCGTCATAATATTTGTCTATACATTTCACATCGCACTACGAACACTTAATCACCAACTTTACTACAAGGAAAATTGAATATTTTTTGTTATTGTTTATCTCTAAAAAGAATATATAAATGCTATTTCAACTGACGTTCTGCTTCTGTTTTTCCTTCAGAAAATAACCTTTTATGTTTCATTTAAAAGATTTGTTGTAAATTTTTTGGAATCCTGACACTCAACAGCAACAACCTGGGTAGACGAATCCCAACGCTATCATATATGTAAGGTGTCACAAAATTCACGAAGATTATATTCCACCGAGGCCTTTAGTCAGTTGTTGAACAGATTCCCTGTAATCAACCCACTAAAAGGTACGTTTCCTACTTATGCAAGGAAATCTCTTAACTTTGTGGAGACAGTTGTAGATTACTACTATAAATAACAAATTCCTACATAATAATGCCATCCATTAAGTCCTCTTAGTGTTAGCTACAGTACCAACGAGTACAAAAAGCCTTGTTTGAGTGTGTCGCTGTGGAGTCGGTGCCATAACTCAAACTAACAAAACAAGATTGAGAGGCAACACTGAGAGCCGGCGCGTACTACCATCGGGCAGTGTTTTGTGATACTTGTTATTTTATCAACATGTGTTTTTTTTTCTACCTACATTTATATAAGCTACAAATTAAATTAAACACAGCGGACTATTAATAGATTAAAGCATTTAACGTCATTCTTTTTTTCCGTCGAAATCCGTGATTTTTTTTACGAGTCAAACGCGACATTAATCTTCTGTGCCCCACTAGTCGTCTGCCTTGCTTTTTGATCTGAAGCTAATTTGACACTAAACGTTAACAGATGAAAAGAACTTTGTCTCAAAAAATACAACTTGGAAACTTGACAACAAAAGCTCCATCTACCTACTTGTTGAAAAATAGTACTTACAATGTTAGAGCGGAATTTCGGAAGAAATCAGAAAATTGAGATGTAGTAGAGTGGGACGCTCGATATGATAGATTTGGAGGCGGTCTCGAGAACCTTTCACAGGCCTTGGCAACACCCAACGATGAAGATGAGATGTTGTTAGAGTGTAAGATTATTATTATTATTATTATAAATAAAAATAAAATATAACATAATAATAATAATTGAAATTATACATAAAGCCTTGCTTGGGGAGAATTAATTAAATAAAAATGTAACACTCGGTCAGGCACAAGGACACAATAACTGAGCACAATGAGAATCAAACTGGTTATACATGACCTTGTGATACAACATATTTCAACATCACTCTACAGCTGATATCTTAACAGATTTGAAAAACTTCCATTATTTACATTATTCGAACTGTTATCCTCATCTTCATCGCCATATTCACAACGTTTCGGCCGTTGTACGCTCCGGCTTTCATCAGGTGATTGGATTTTTTTTCAATATCTGTCTATATCTCTGAGATGAGGTATCATGATTACTTGCATTATTTACATTATTCGGACAGTTATCCTCATCTTCATTGCCATATTCACGACGTTTCGGCCGTTGTACGCTCCGGCCTTCTTCTAGTGATTGGAATTTCCAACTGAACCCATTATTTCGTCCACCGAAAATGTTTTGAATATGGTAATGGATATAAGGATAACAGTCCGAATAATGTAAATAATGCAAGTAATCATAATACCTCATCTCAGAGATATAGACAGATATATAGAGAGACATAGACATAAAGGTCGGAGTGTACATTTCAGGCATTGAAACGTTGTGAATATGGCAATGAAGATGAGGATAACAGTCCGAATAATGTAAATAATGCAAGTAATCATAATACCTCATCTCAGAGATATAGACAGATATATAGAGAGACATAGACATAAAGGTCGGAGTGTACATTTCAGGCATTGAAACGTTGTGAATATGGCAATGAAGATGAGGATAACAGCCCGAATAATGTATATAATGCAAGTAACCATAATACCTCATCTCAGAGATATAGACACATATATATATAGAGAGACATAGACATAAAGGCCGGAGCGCACAACGGCCGAAACGTTGTGAATATGGCAAGGAAAGATAAGAATAACAGTCCGAATAATGTAAATAATGCAAGTAATCATAATACCTCATCTCAGAGATATAGACAGATATATAGAGTGATATAGGCATAAAAGCCGGAGCGTAGAACGGCCGAAATGTTGTGAATATGGCAATGAAGATGAGGATAACAGTCTGAATAATGTAAAAATAATACAAGTAATCACAATACCTACTCTCAGAGATATAGACAGATATATAAACTTTGTCAGGCAAAAGGCCACAATATCTGAGCACTTGGTGACGAATAAACTCACAACACATGCTTTTGATGGTCTTTTTCATCATCATGCACACGAGATATCCTTACAAAACTTAGTCAGGCACAAGGCAATAGTAAATGAGCTCTCAGTGAGAATCCGGCTCACAACACAATCAATACCTTTGACTACAATTTCTCAATCATCATTCGACAGTTGATATGCTATTTACAAAACCGGGTCAGATACAAAACTACTTGGTGCGGATCAAATTCACTTACCATGGCCTTTGAGACTACTTTTTTCAACGTCACTTGTCACTAGAAATATTTGTCTGCCACAAGATCACGGTTTTTGTGGTCTCAGTGACGATTAGATTTATTCAATATATCGTTTTAGTTGTCTTTGTTAAGCGTATGCCCTGTTTGTGCTAAAAAGGAATATCGGGTTTGTTCAACATTTTATAAATGTTTTGAAGTTTCTTGGGTTGAGGTGAGACATATTGAAAGGTTTTTTCGGCTCTGTAGTAAAGCCTTATACTGTTTTCCCCCTCATCCTCCGTCTTTCCGATAACGCAATGATATTCAACTGCAGACGACATTCACTCACTAAGTTATGGCGCCTGCTTGTTACTCTCTTTCTATTTGCTGAGCTTTTCATCCTGGATGGAATAACTTTTTACACCAACTCGTCGGAATTTATTTCCAAAAAAAGCAGACAACAAAGGCAAAAAGGGGGCCCTTAAAAATATGGGGCAAGGCACTTACCCGCCTTGAAATCAACCCTGGCTTCTTTTACTGACCATGCCGTTGTTCAAGAGAAAACCAGGTAAAAGAAAAAAACCCTCCCCTTTTTGCTTAGATTCCGAAATGGGGGATCAATTTATTATTGTTTTTATTATATAAATTGATCCCCCATTTTCGAACCGCCGTGTTTCGAGATTTGTATTTTTTTGTAAATTGACCACTTTTTTATGTTTTTAAATAATTAAATTATTAAAGGTTAATGAAATTTCAAGAAATTTTATTTCGAGTTTAAATATTTTTCCTATTTAGAATTTTTATTTAATTTTTCTTTTACAAAATGTAATTAAAAAAAAATTCGTTTGTTTTTATAATTATTTTTTAGTTTGAAGGAATTTAATTTAAAATTAATTCCTTTTTTGAACTTTTATTTTGTGTTTTTTAAGTTTAAATTTGTTTTATTTATAGATTTTTGGTAAAACGTTTTTTGTTTTTCTTTTTATTGCAAATAAAAGAAAAAAATCCAAACTTTTTTTTCATCCGGGAAAAAAATAATTTTTAAAAATTAATTCTTAAAAAATTAGTTTTTTTTAATGAAAATATTAAAAAAACAAACAAAAAATGGGAAAGTTTTTAATTCTGGTTTTTATTTTAAAGTAATTTATATTTTCAAATTCATTAAAATAAAAATTAATGTATTCAAAAAAAAAAGGGAAAATGACTTTCATGCCTTTTTTTTACTTTTTATTAACAATTAATTTAAATCTTGTGTTAGTTAAAATCTCTAAATGAGGGACAAAATTTAGAACCTGAATAAACAAAACTAATATTTTTTCAACTTAAAGGGTATTTTTTAAAATTATATTTTGTGACAAAATATAATTAAAAAAAAATACTAACCCTTTAAGTTGAAAAAAATATTTTTTTTAAAAAAACTCAAAATTTTTGTTTGAGTTTTGTCAAAAAAATTATTCTTCATCAATATTTTTTTTTAAATTTAGTTAATGAACATTAAAAAAATATACAAAAAATGACACTTGTTGTAATTTTTCTTTATGGTAACAAATATTCCTAAAAATTTACGAACTTGTTTTTAAAATTTGATTTTTTTTTTATTTTTTTTTTTTTTTTTACGTAAATTAAGTTCTAAAATTTGATTTTTAAAATTTTGATTTAAATTATTTTAATTTTAAATAATAAAAAACTTTCAAATTAAACAGTAAAGTTGTTTTGTGTACAATGAAATGCTTTTCCACCAATGTTTTTTTAGTTTTAGTGTTTTTATTTATTCACAATAAAAAATAAAACAGTTATTTTAATAACAATCTCTTAAATTTTTATTCACAAAAAAAATAATAAATTAATCCCTTGATTTAATTAAGATTTTTTTTAATTTAATTTTATTTTAATTGTCCCATGTTATTAATTATGAAATATTCATAAAAATATTTTTATTCTAAATTTTAAAAATAAAATGTATTTTTCTTTTTTTTTTTTTTTTAAATTTGTTTTTAGATTATAAATAAGTTTTAATACATTTTTCTACACCAGTTTGTTTTTTAATTTCTTTCTTTTTTGTGTATTTTTAAATCCAAGGATTGTAGATGGGATAAAAAAAAGGACGGTTTTGTTTTGTTTTTTATATTGGAGTTTTAAGCATAAGGGATGATTTTTATGTTCCATGTCGATAGCTATGAACCAGCAACAAAGTTATATATATATATATATATATATATATATATATATATATATATATATATATAGTCTGTAAAATTAAAGTAAGTTTTTCTTTTTTGGTTTGTTGCTGAAGGAGTCAAATTTTGGTGCACCACCCTCTAATAACCTCCACTCCGCAAAATTGCTTTTTACGTCTTTCGAAGTATTTAAAAATAGATAAATTTCGTTTGTTACGTATATTGACATATGAAATTATTAAATTTCTTTTTTATTCTTTTTTTTTTTTTAATTAATTTTTGGGTATAAAAAGGACTTTTAGTTTTAAACTTAAAGGTAAAAAGTAAATCATTAAACTTAAACATTTCATTTTTTAACCGATGTCAGAATTTTGCTACTTTCACAATTAAAAAAAAATAAATAAAAATAAACAGGAAGTATTTCCTTTTTTAAAAGAAGCCTCCTCACCTGATGGGCGTTAAAAATAATTAAAAAAAAAAAAAAATTCTGAACAGTAAAAAATAAAAGTCAAAGCCCAAACCCTTTAATGACCACATCTTCTCGACAGAACTATTTACGCAATATAGTCACATGGCCTAACACGCTTCTCTCTTCTTATGCAGATGTTTTGTTGGGATGTTTGCGGATTAGGTCTGATGATCGCTTAAGGCGTTAAACTGCCAGTCACCATGAGGTGTTGAGTTCTATGTCTACACACCACTAGTCTACACTTACACTGTTTTTAAGTTAGTTACCTTAAAAAAGTTCTATTCCCCCCGAAGCATTCCTTCCTCACAACTATAGCACGTTTTAAACTTAAAATGTCGATGTAGAAATCAACACTGCATGGTGACTGTCAATTTCACGCATCCAAGCAGTCCTTCAAAAAATAAAGTACATGGCCGCCTAACGATTGTGTTTAACTTTGAACATGAAACAGGTTTATTGACTGTCTGGTTGTTAACTTCATGTTCAGTGTCTGGTTTTATACTCTATGCCTGATAACCCATAAACGTAGCATACAGATCAGTTCTCTGAAAAAGGTGAATTTAAGGAGAGTTTTTCGCAATATGAGGCGAAAAATCTTTTAAAAGTTTTACTTTTTAGCAGGTGCGTCGTTTTGTCAAATCAAATGGACGGACATTCAAATAAAAAGACATTTGTTTGAATAGAATATATAGTGAAAATAAATATTTTTTAATTTAAATATTTAAAAATAGTTTTTTTTTTATTTTTAATTATTTTAAAAAAATATTTTTAACAACAAAGCATTAAAAATGTATTTGTCCAAAAACCCGGAACAAATCAATGGCTCATTTATTTTACAATGAATAATTCTCTTTTTCACTTCATATTTTATTTAACAATGCATATCGTATCGTTTATGAGTTTAACTGCCTTTTGGCAAAAAAAAAAAAATAAGCAAAAAACCTGCTCCAAATCAATCATAAAAGTAAAACTAAAAAAAATGAGAACACACGATCATGTTTTGTTGAAAATTGTTTTTATTGACATTTTATTTTTTAGCTTGTTTAAGTCACGACCATTTCTAGTAGCAGTGGTGTTTTAGTTACTGTTTAAAAAAAAAAATCATTCGTTAGTTTAGCAAATTTTACTTGATTTTATTTTTATATGAAAACAATTTTTTTAAAAAATGTGACTGTGACAGTATTTTTGAGTTTCTTTGGGCCCCAAACAAAATAAAATGCCTGATATGTTTGTTAACAAAACAAAAATAAAAACAAGAAATGTATTTTGTAAGGTGGTAATTTTTTAGCCTAAGTTGACCTGATTTAACTTTTATGTTCCCGTTTTACTCTCTCTCTCTCTCTCACACACACACAAGGGATATTTTTTGTGGCTTATGAAAAAAAAAAAAAATCTGTCAAAATCTTTTCAGAAAGTCTACTACTTTGAAAATATGAAATAAAAAAAAAATTATTTCAAATATTGTTTCATTCGTAATTTTCAACCGTTGTCATCTGACGGGTTGGTTTCACTTTTTAAAAATTCATTGTCATTCATAAATTCTCTGTAAAAACAAAACAAAAAAAATACTTTTAATTTTTTTAAAACTTCTACACTTATTAATATTTTATATTTATTTTTATCATACAAAATATTTTTTATTTTTACAAAACAATTGTAAGAATTGTTAAATTTCCTGATAAGAAAAAAAAAAAAGTTTGTATTTTTCTACCTAGTAGAGTACCCGTAAAAAATGGCGGAATTATTTACATGTTGAAGCTGAAAATTTATTAACCTGACCAAATAACAAAACGCTGGGATATCTTTTTTGAACGTCATCCTGTATGGGTCAATAATACTATTTTTGTATTGCTCTGTCCAGTTCAGTGAGTTGTTCTCCTGCACTTGATATTCGATATTGACTATAGCACGGTTCATTGAACAGTGTTTATCAGAGGCAAAAATTAAGAATGATAATCTTATCTCGGTTTTATTAAATTCAACCATCAAGATCTGTCACTTTCATTTTTTTTTTCCATTTTATTTTTCCAATTTTCAAATAAGATATCAGGCTTTAAATTGTGGATAAAGTCTGAAGTTCATTTTTGTTCTGTTGTTTTTGTTCAACAATTATCAACCATCTCAATCATTATCAAGAACCATGTGCTGTCAATATAGTAGGCAAGATACTGTTATCTATGTTCTGGTATTTTATATGTAGCCAAGAGTTTGAATCATTCTAAAGTAGATACAATGGTTTTTAAAAACTGACAGAAAGTCTTGTCCTAAACACTCTCCTCCTAGAATCCTTGATAACAATATTTCATCACTTCTTGTGATTCCTTATCTAAGGAATAACTAGATTTGCATGAAGGCTAAACTCTGTCAGATCTTTCTATAGGGTTGGAAGGGGACTACAAGACTTTCTCTTTATTTTCATAAGCTCCTATCAATAAAGTTTTGCAACTCACAGAACATTGCTTTTTTGTTTCTTTTTATCCAGATGGACTCTAAGAGACAACTTTTTAGGAGTTTCATGTAACACTTAAAGAAACACAAATGGCTTAATTTTCAAGTTGTTGTTTCCCCACCCCCAAGCCCTGAAATCTAGACATCATGATCTCTCACACACACACACTCACACAATGAGAGTGAACCTATTGTTGTATAATCAATATTCATAAACAACTGATTATGTAATTCACATATAAAAAATTTCCTTTATTCTCATACAAACAGTAACAAATCAAATTATGCCAGGAGAGGAGAAAAAAAATGAAATTGCTACAGTTGAGAACCAACTGCATTTGAATTGTGTAGAGACAGTTTTATTATTACTCACCATTAACTTAACCACTATGCCACATACTATTTTATTATCAGTAATTTTTTTTTTTTTTTTGCATTAATATAAATATTTCTTTCTGGTAAGAGGGAAATTGA